TGAATGTTATGTTAAATCAGGGTAAATAATTATGGAAATCCAATTTCCTAACAATATCTAATATATTAGATTTTATAATAGATCTGTATACTGAGAAAGAAAATATCTATAAAAGATAGGAAATATTTATTCAATGCGTATACTAATAACATTTATATTGATATAAATATTTATTTATATATATTAACATATAGATATTTTTTATATCGAGATAAACATTATTTTAAATGAAAAACTGTAGATTTTTTAAAATTAATTTTTCGTAAGAACAATTGTGTGTGTGCTTAATCTATTTAAATAAGAGAAATTAGATTTAAATAAATGTGATATTAATATTCAATGTATAAATATTTTTTTATTTTTTAGTATTTTGTTTCTCTCAGTTTATATATCAATAAATCATCAAGGTAATCATGGGGAGAGGGACTATAAAATGAATAATGTTTATATCCTAAATATTCAGATATTTACATCAGATGATTAAAAATAGCCAATAATGTCTAATAATCAAGTGATAGTAAAATAGTACGAAAGTAAAACAGTAGAGAATAATATAAAATAGTCGACTGAAAACAGTTAATTATCTTTTTTACTCCTGGAATGCCTCTTTAGGCCCTTTTCACGAAAATTTCCTTAAGGTTGATGGTCTTTACTAGTAGGTCTGTTCTTTTTCGTTAAACTAACGTACGTTTATGGAAAGAGATATTTAAAAAGAGATAAGTAAAAAAACGATTAAGAAAAAAAGAAGAAGAGAAGCAAGCAAAAAGTGCAATGAAAAAGAACAGATTAAAGCCTTTATTGTGAACTTTCTATTATCGATAAAAGTGCCTCTAAATGTGACTGAGAGCCAATCAGAAGACTTATAAATTATATTTAGAAGTGCTTTTATTAATAAAAGAGAGATCAAGATAAGAGCCTAAAGCAGTACTGAGTGGTAAGTCTAAAGTACAATCGAGTGGTAAGCTAATAGTTAAATCATATGTTAATCTTTGTTTGTCTTTCAAGATAAACGAAGACAGGCATATGTGTTAAATATTAATAAGTTTACTATTCGGGTTGGTGCAGTCGGGCCCAGGTATCTTGCTGGTGCTTTTGTGGTGTTGCGCGGGTATGCCCGGGTGCGAATAGTCGCGGGGACGATCCTGCCAGAAAACGACCGGTTCACTAGGGACGGTCATCCGCTTCGAAGGTCCGCAATGCGGCGGTGTATCATTCTGTCACTCGCGCACGTTCGACGTAACACGCTTTCTCGAGGATCGCACTTTTGCGCATTGTCTACGTATTATCTGCTAAATTTAGTTTTTTATACTGAAACTGTTTTTTATTCGAGCATCTTTTTCGTAGTTTTTCGCATAATAAATGATCTTTCGCTTTGCATGCAGTAGAAAACATTTTATAACAATTATTATATCCAAATACAATATTATGCAAATAGAGCTCGTGGATAACTATCCAAATTTTTTGCAAAATTTTGAACAAATTGTTATAAAGATTTGAAGGAAGCTTTCTTGCCCAAAGTGCTAAAAAAATGTACACCTTTTTAATTCAAATAAAAAAACTATAGAACTTTGAAACTTTTTACAAATATTGATGCAATTTTTAATGAAATAATGCATTTTTTCATAATATAATTTATTTTGTTGAAGTTATAAAATTAAGTATATAAATTAAATATATAATTAAGTATAAGTTGAATAAGAAAATTCGTTTTTTTTTCTGGCGTCCTTGAATTTTCACTCCCTAATAATCTGAAATAAACAAACGATGAAAAATCTTACGTATGATATGATTGTGTAGCTATGGAACGCACTTCAGACAAAATGTAAAAAATTAACAAAATAGCGGTATCTGAAAAAAAATTTCAATATTTCACAGATCGTTTTTTGTTAGTAAAAATATATTTTGTATGAATCGTATTAATTGTAGTTTATATGTCATAGCTATAATCATACCATACATGAAATTTCATGTATCATATTACTCGAGAGAAATTTTCACGAGAGATCATAAAATTCTTTAATTACAAAAATTTCCTGTACTCCTTTTTTTCCTGTAACGTTCTTATAAGAGATTTTCCTTAGAATGTAAATAAAGATACTTATCTATTTTTCTATATATATGTGACCGGGATAATTTTGTATTCTATGTCCACATAAACAAATTTCTTTTAAGTAACGATCCGTCTCCCAAATGAACGGTGATAGCGTGTTAAATTAAGCTATTAAGTTAATTAAGGATATCAGAATAAAAACATGCTTAACAATGATCAAAATAGCCAAGAAAAAGTTTAAAAAAGGGAATCACTCGATTCGTTCTGCATAAGAACCCAATAATCCTTAATACGCCACTGCTCCAGTTTTCCAGCTCTTCCCCCCCCCTCTCTCTCTCTCTCTCTCTCTCTCTCCCCCTCTTTCGCCTCTATCTCTTTCTCTCTCTCTCTCTCCCTCTTTCGCCTCTATCTCTTTCTCTCTCTCTCTCTCACCTTCTCATCTCCCTTCTCCACTACTATCAATGAACCCCTCTTCTCGCGTAAGCCGGATCCCGAATCGTTGCTACGACAGTCGCGAATGTGGCTGCAGCTGTCCCGCAGGTACTGTCGGGTCTTTAACGGAAACGTGACAACGGAAACGGTCGTCGTGACACGTTTCAAGGATGGTGCGAAGGAATAATCAAAGAGGACACGTAGGGGTCCCGAAAGTGTTGCCAGAACGCGGCACTGGTAAGTCTCGCGTCCTCACTCGAACCGAAGCGAACTGATCGGCACGTTGGCGATCGTTGATCCGAGAACATATGGTTGGGAACATAACACGTGGTCCTCGTACCGTTGCACGACTTGCTTTGGACAAACCATGATTGGAGAATAGTTAAAAGAAAATTCCACCTATATTCTAGGTGTCTAATTACGTGCGTAATTATACGATTAAGAAGGAATCTAAAGTTATATTTGTATACTCCAGTTAGAATTATTATCCAAACATGTATTGTGATCATTAGATTTGTCATATTTGCCACGCGTACAGCCGGTGCTCCACGACATATATGATACATAAAACAATATTTATTAGAGACTTCTCTCCTTTGTGTCATCATTTGCAATTATAATAAATGATGAAACATGGAAAAAGTAGAAAGTCGCGCATATAAGTACAAATTATTTTTAAAGTTGATTTAACTAGTTTTAAACTGCGCACGAAAATAGACAAACCGGTTATCGAATGAAAGAGAAAACCGGTTAACTTCTAATTGTAACGTATAATGTAACAAAAGATAAATATTTTACACAGAACATAAATATTATGTCTACGTGGCATCTCGATTGTCGCTGACATATCAGCTACTTATTTACTTATATGACATTTATGATAATCCATAAATTGCAAGATGCGTTATACTATAATTGCGTAAGGTTAAAGGTTAAACTAAAGATAAAGAATTAAGAATATAGATAAAGGATTAATCACTAGTCTACCACGTGTGTTTCGTGCTTCTCTTGTCAAATTTTATCACAATTATATCTGAGGGCGTGAGTTATACGAAATATTCTAAATGACTCATGAAACGTTCACACAAATTGCGTTGCACATCTTTTTTGGTGTATTTGCGTAACGTTCGCCTTGAAACCGCTTTGCAAATTGATGTAATTCGAATCACGTCGAATTTCTGCGAAGAGCAAACTCTGCAAAAAAAAAAGGAAAAAGGAATGAATCATGTGATGACTATGTTTGAGGGCGTTAAAGAGGCCTCGAATTTATCGCGTTATTGGTGCGAGGTTCATTGACACAAGGGGCTCATAAGTATGCGAGATACTCTGTAAAAACTGATCGTCGAGGAGTCGCAGGAACTATTGATTAATAATCTAAACGAGTTCCCCGTTGCTATGTGAATCAACATCATCACCGTATGATTCTTGATTGTATATGGGGATACTTCTTATGAGACAAATCGAGTATCATGTGTAGAGAATTTTTTCTCTCGAGATATTCTGAAATATTTGTGAAACATATATTTTGAGAGAGAAAAAAAGATTAATCTCACCAAATTTACAGTCATTTTTAACGCCAACTACACGAAGAGAATTTTATATCTTTTTTTCATATAAATTCTCCTCAATTTTATCATGTTCCTAATAGTGCAAGAATAGACTGTGAGCAAAGTTTATCTTGCTATGGAACATAATAAATTTTACTAAAAACAGCAAATTTTTTAATAATATATTTTAATCCTTAAAATATGGCATATACTAAGAAAGAAAATGTCTGAAAAGTAAAAAAATATTTATAGATAATAACATTTACTTAAAAAAATATAATTTTTTTTTATTTAAATAGAATAAATAATTGGTTTTATGAAAAGCTGCGGTTTTAAGAAAGTATATATTTTCTTAAAGAATATTTTATATAAGTAAATATGTTATATTAGTACCCAATTGAATAATAAATAGTTTTTATTTCTTAGATATTTTTTTCTTTTAGTATATGAAATGAAATGAAAGAATGATAGTCCATAATTACTGCAGAATATCGATCTATTTCTCAGTTAGAAAATTTTATAGCAATTTTTATTATAAAATTCTCTCCGTGTCTTTTTATTGTTCTAACAAAAATGTAGTACTAGCAATATGTATATAAGGTTATTATTCAGTAACTAACAATAACATTACATCAATATTATAATTTTTTACTAGATATTGTGACTATTACATACAATGCATGTTATATTGCACTTACATTGTTGAATGAGAAATTATAACATTAATGTAATGTTATTATTAGTTACTGTTTATTCAGCCATCACTAACACTATAGTAAAACTTATCATAAAAATAGTTAAAATATACACTATAGTAAGTTACCATAAAAATAGTGGCAATAATTTTTTTTTCGTTATGCGCGCGTGATTATAGTTACAAAACCAAATATTTATTTTTTGAGTGTATAAATTTCTAACGTTTTTTTTTCTAATGACTCAAAATTAATAAAATTACCTGCTTTTGCTTACAGTGGCGGCTCTGATATACTGGCGCGATCCCAAAACTTCGGGAATAGTGTTTGGTGTGGTATTAGGTGTGCTGCTGTCATTGGCCTATTTCAGCCTGATTAGCGTGTTCGCTCATCTATCGCTTTTAGTCCTCGGCGGAACTATTCTTTTCCGTATCTACAAAACCGTTCTTCAAGCTGTCCAGAAGACTTCGGACGGTCATCCGTTCAAGTAAGAAAGAGTATCAATACGTTCTGCTCCAACTTATATATCCAATCTTGGCTTACAATTATATTCCTTAATTTCACACATCCATCCATTCCTTGTTTCTATTTATCTAGTTATTAATGTCCTTATAGTTAAATTGTTTCTCTTTAATTGACTCTCGTTATCTAAATACTCTTATAATCTCCTTTAGCAATCATCTTGATTTTTACCTCAGCTTTATGCTGTTTATACCTTTCTATCTAAAATGTCTAATTATACTTTCCTAGTTTACTCAATAAGTACTATATATCGTCCTCATACAAAGGTTGTCCGGAAAGTAATGAAAATTTTTTTGTTAATTTATTTATTGAAAAAATTTACAAATCAATATCACTTTCAAAATATGATCCTTGAAAACGCAAACAACGCTCCCAACGCTTCTGCCATTCTTGGTAGCAGTGCTGGAAATCTTCAACTGTGAGCGTGTTCAGGGACTCGGTTTTTTTTAATATTGTTCACTGTGCCGAAATGATGATCTCTTTTCTTTAAAATGTTCTAAGTTATATTTTACCTTGGTTTTGGAACGTTTGAGAAAAAAGATTTTGCGTGTGCGTCGTCAAATCTTCCCTTCATGGATGTTCCATCATGATCAACGCACTAAGTTACACTTCACTGGCTGTGAGAGAATTTTTGATTGAAAAAAAATTCCAGTTCTTCCATATTCACCCTACAACCCCGACTTGGCTCCATGTGATTATTTCTTATTTTCCAAAACACACTTGAAAGGCCACCATTTCGACACAGTGAACAATATCCAAAGAGCCGTGACCGAGACCCTGAACACTCTTACAGTGTAAGGGTCATCAATCTCATTTAGATTTTGTTTGATATTAAAAAAAAAGAATATATATAATGTATTAAGTTTAGTTAAGTACCGAAACGAATCAGTTGATATTGTTTTACGATATTACGAGTAAGCTCAGTTTTAATAAAACTACCGTTTGGATTACAGGGATATTCTTGACCTGGATTTGGCGTTACCGGCTGAGAAAGTGCACGAATTTGCAGACGTCGCGGTTGCACACGCTAACGCTGCTGTTAGTGAATTGCGCAGGCTGTTTCTCGTCGAAGACTTTGTCGATTCTCTCAAGTTCGGCGTTCTCTTATGGTGTCTCACCTACGTCGGTTCTTGGTTCAATGGCATGACTCTCATCATAATCGGTAAGTATTTTCTACATTGCATTTTGCTGCCCACCCTGCAAGCGCTATCAATTTAACGTGTTAAATGTTTACCTCTTTTCAGGCGTGGTCGCTCTCTTCACGCTGCCTAAGATCTACGAAACGAACCAGGAACAGATCGATCAGAATCTGGCCTTGGTACAGGCGAAAATCAACGAGATTACCGCCAAGTGAGTGCATGATTTCTCTAAGTTTACAAGAATTTTGGAGACGCTCAGAAAGTAACACAAGAAATCTTATAATACAATGAAAGACGATAAAAGTCGATTAAAAATCTAATTTGCATTTATTTCTAATATATTGTGTTAATATAATATATACACACACACAGTATATTAAAAATAAATTGTTGTAAGTTTCTTTGATTAAGATCAAACAATACAATAATGAAGAGGGCGATAAGAGCAGATTGCAGATCTGATTTGCATTTATTTCTATGATATACTATTATACTAATATACTATACAGTACAATATATTAGAAATAAATAAAAATTAAATTTGGTTAAATTGGTTCTTATTGTTTTTTTTTATTATTGTATTGTTTGATTGTAATTAGGAAGTCTTACAGTCACATTTATTTGCAGCAACGAATCTTTTTCTGGTAAATATTTTCTAGAATATTCAGGAAAATACGTGGCTATGCGACGTTTTCCGACGTCGAACAAGGTTTTAGAAACTAAAATAGTTAATCATCACTAAAAAGATGCCTAAGTATTTGTAGTCATTTGTAGACTTCACTTTGACAGTTCATTAGTTTGCTACTGCGTCTATAATAAACTGTTATTTTTATCCTGTAAAATTGTATCGGGAGGAAAAAGAAAGAGAGAAAGAAAAGTGTCTTACATTACTTTCTGAAGGCTCCGCATACTCCGTGACGTTTCTCGAAAGAGGATTGTTCGATTGTTTCAGAGTGAAGGCGGCAATTCCCCTGGGTAAGAAAGCTGAACCAACGAAGGAGGAATAAGAAAGAGTCGTGCGAAACGATAAGGCAACAACCGCCGAAGCAAAAATAGAAATGACTAAGTTAGAAATGAACGAGAAAGAAATATGGACGAATAGTGCGAGTTTGAGAGCGCGTGCGAGCAGGACAATTATACGATCGAGAGAGGGCTCACGTCGTGTGCACACGTGTTGATATTGGGCTCCGTTGGTGGTTGCATTGGTGACGAGATAGCTAACACGCGCGCCGGTATCTCCGCGAGCTCCGCCGTCGTATTCCGGAGGAAGGAAATATCTTAATGATCCTTTTTCAAGGCAGATCGGCCGGCGAGATTAAACGGTCGCGTGCGCGCGCGCATCGACATTCTGAACAGGAGAGCGATTCTTTATTGAGGAAGTAAACACCGCGAGAAAATGAGAGAGAAAGAGAAAGCATGCGAGCGAACGAATGAGCGAGCGAGAGAGAGAGAGAAAGAGAGAGAGAGAGAGAGAGAGAGAAAAAGAGAGAAAGAGAGACAGGCAACACTTAGCATTAATTAATCGTTCATTATCACGATAAACAATGATGGCGTATTTTTAGCCAGCTATATTAACAGTGCAATGTGTGCGGGGCTGCTCTCGAGGAACGAATCAGCCCTTCTCCTCGTCCTACCCTCTTTTTGGTCGTATTCTTCGACAAAATGTGTTTTATCGCAAACTTCGTGTCTTTACCCGATGGTGTCCTCTGTTCTTCTTCGCAGAGTGAGTGAGTGTGCGCGTGCATATATGTGTGTGTGCGTGTATGCGAGAAAGAGAGCAAGTGAAAGGAGAAGAGTGAGTGGGAGAGTATGAATGCAACAATGCTGCACGCGACTTATCGTAGTCCCGTCTTCGGAACATCATATTCGACTAAATTTGGATCATTGTTCGTGTACCGAAAGGGAATTTATCGAAGTAATCGTTTAAACTATGACGCGACAGTAACGTAGTGAAAACGGGGGTGACGGAGGCTCGTGACGATACAAAGGGGTTGAACGGGAGGGGATAAACACGAGAAATGATATCGTTTTTATCCTTCAGCGGTAGATCTTAAAGTAATTGTCCAATTTCCAGTGATCCCCCAAAACACCTTGATGTTTTAAGTTGTTGTTACGTTTGGGAGAAAATCGGACGCGGTTAAGCGACCAGTTGAATAATGCGAAAACGTATATATTGCATCTGTCTCTTAATGACGTTGACGTTTGCATAATATTATTGCTACTGCATTATTAATTGTAATTACACCGTTGCATACGCACACGCGTGTACCACGTACATTACCGTCAGAAAAGTTCAGGAACATTGTCCGAGATAAGTACTTTTATATAATTTATACATATAACACACTCTTTTTTGTATTAATATTAAATTTTTTTATTAATATTAGTATTATAATAAAAAAAATGAAGTTAATATTAATCTGAAAAATTATAATACTATAAATTGTACACATAATATATCTCTATTTATTATTGTAAGTTTATAAGGATATATAATATATATCGTATAACTTATTAAGAGCGACAAATCCATGTGATTTTATCTAAACACATTCGCTTTTTATTACGTGTTGCTAAGTTGTCCGACGGTAGTGTATGCATATGCGTATATATGTACGCTTCTGGCCGCATGTGTACGAGCGCGCGCGTGTATGTATGTGAGAAAGGGATGGGTAGAGTCATACGAATCGAACGATCCTAAACGGTAACGAGGTACGGAACACATTAGACGGTGAACGATGAAGATGCAACTTTATATTATATCGTAATATCTATCTATAGTTATCGAGAACACACGTGTTTTTATCGGGACCGATGGCAAAGTGTTACGAATGTGAATTGTAATACGCGTATTGCTTCTTGACGTTTTCATTATTGCATCTGCATCCGCACGATTAATTTATAAATAAATGATATTAAATAAGGTAACTCTTGTTTTCTTCATGTAATAATTGCTATTTCCTTTTTTCATCTTTCTACAGACTGCATCCAGATTTCCCTCCTCGAAAAATTTCTCCCGATAAATCCGCTATTTCTAACGATTTTTTTCTAAATAATTTTTATAATGCAAATTTATAGAAAGAAGAATGATAGATTTGAACATGAGGCATTTTGAGCAACATTTCGTTTAGATTCAGTTGATTCAATTATTTTTTCAAGCAAATTGTATTGCACTATTAATTGCAAGGTGAAAAAGAAGAAAGGAGAACGAAGCAATGCACAATTTTTGTTTAAAAGAAAATTATAATAAGGCTCTAAACTCATCTGACATATAATTACGGTTACATAATTTCATATCATTATATTACAAATACACTTCAATATATAATGAAGTATTAAAAATCAAGTATTGTACAAGATTAAAAAATGTTTACATTGTATAATCATATGCGATTAGAGTGACGACTTTATCACTTTCGTATTTCATTTACAGAAGCACACACTAACAAGTTTTGTTTGAGTTGATGAAATGGAGTCGGTCTCTTCTGTTCAATTATCTAACTTTCGAAATTACCGTCCATCACCAAATTCTGATATGCCTGTTAAAATAACGTCGATTTGAATTCTTGCCGCCGCGCATACCGACACTCACAATAATTGCTCGCTCATGCGCATGCGCAACCTTGGAGCAAGGTGACCATTGCCATCCAAGAGTGAGCGACGCGAATCATTCGTTTTCGAGCTTTTGGAGCGGTCGGAGTGTGCTGGTCAGCTGAGTGTTCGATATCGCCACGACTTGACGAAAGTTTCGCGAGTAATCGCGAGCGAATCCCATTGAACGAGTCACCATGTCGATATCAGACTCCGACCACGAGAAGAGGAAGCAGATCTCAGTGCGCGGCATCGTCGACGTCGAGAATGTAACGAATTTCAAGAAGACCTTCAACAGACACCTTCACTACACCCTGGCGAAGGATCGCAATGTCGCCACGACCCGCGATTATTTTTTCGCTTTGGCCCACAGCGTCAGGGACAACCTGGTGTCGCGATGGATCCGCACGCAGCAGCACTACTACGAGAAAGATCCCAAGGTATTGTTCCGTATCTTGTCGTAAATTACGTTGCCGATTTCATTCCGGCAAATTCGAATCGACGTCGCAGTCGCGCGAAAGTTCCTGAGAGAATTTCGTAATGTCGAATTTCAAATAAGACGCCAAACGTATTTCACATTTGTATGATATCGGCAAGAGAGATTCGAAGATTAACATGAGATGTTTTCTTTTTTATATTTGCAATATCAAACAATCTGGGAGAAGCTTGCATGTCGCTTTCGATATCAGTCTTAATGAACAATTCACATCTTGTAACTTATACTGTTAATTGTTATTAACTATTGCTAATTTCCAGGCAGCACAATCTCTTTAAGAGATGTTTAGGAACATTCTCAGGAGATAGAGACGTTCTCAAAATCTTTCAGAGTCTTTCAGAATGTTCAGAGTTACTCTAAAATCTCTTGTAGAGATCTGTGCTGTTTAGATTGTTATTAATTAAAACCCTTTGGGTAAACTGCACATTGAGCGAAATGAAGGGGAAGGTGTAGCACGTAACTTGATTTTCGCTGAGTAGCAGAATTTATCCGAAATTTATCGGAGAAAATCTGCAAACACAGAGGAAGATCCGCGTATTCAGACTTTTACTCTGATTATCTGACTTTTACTCTGATTATACGACTTTTGCTCATCTGTGAGAAGTTTCGCAATGCAGGAAGTCATTGAGTAGATTATAGATCGTTAAAACATTTGACAGATAAAAATTACACTTGTTTGACCAGCGCGATTGTACGATTATGCGATTTACTAATAATAGCGTTATGCACGATCTTTGCACTCGTTTATATGTCGCGAGAATTTTTAGAAATGCAGATAAAAATGCTTGCGCAACAAAGCATTAATAACAACATTTTTTCGCCGATGATGCTACACACACACACATACATATATCCTCTATAATACGCTTGAATAATATACTAAATTAGGCAATTACAAGCATTTACGAAAAATCGATTAGATAATGTGTCAACGTTTAGGAAACACGATATACTTCCGAAAAGATGCATAAAAAATGTATAAAAAAGAAATATGAATATGTGTGATATAAAATGTCAGGACGATTACAACAGAGACTCGTTTCCGTATCTAAATGCGTATAGTTTCTATTTTTATTTTCATTGTTATTTGGAAAGAGTAAAAGAGACAGAAGGAAAGAGAGAGAGAGAAAGAGAGAGAGAGAGAGACAGACTAATAAATTTCATCTATGCTCGTCTTCGCACGAGACTTGGAAGACTGTTCGTAAACGGCTTCATCGTGCACGGGCAAAACATTTCACACAGTCTATTTCGGGGTACATTTCTTGAATATACAAGTCGCAATATAGTTACATCACATTTTGACTTTACACTTATGCGCGAGATTTATTTCGGCTGTTGCACAAGTATTGTGTTATAGAGTGTATTTATTGTTACATGCAGTTGCGTTTTAAAAGCCAAAAGAGTGTCCATAGAAAAAAAAAGTTTAAGAACTGTCTTCTGCCGTAACATCTTTTTTTCAAATCTGCATTTTGTCAACGCCAAAACATTTTATCGTCTGATCAGTCATTATTCTACACTAATAGAGGAAGTATTTCAAATGACAATGTCGCATCCGGTGATTGGCTGACTTATATTCATAAATTAAGGATAGTACATTGTAGTCTCGTTTGTCATTGTATATATATAGTGCATATATTGTATTATTAACACACTAAGAAAAAATAAATAAAAAATATTCAGTGACTACTAATAATAATATATATTTATTTAATTTCAAATTCTGTTATTTAAATAGAATAAACGATTGCTTTCATAAAAAATCAAGTTTTTAAGAAAATGTATATTTATTTCTTAAATATTTTTCCTCTCAATGTATATATTTTATAGTATATATATATATATATATATATATATATATATAAAGAAATATTTGGGATATGTGATATCTTCAAGATATCTCTATGATGTATTTGG